GAAGGTATACTCTTAGCCATCTCACAAAAAAAATATGACTGGCTGTGGTTATAATACCACACAAAAGACATTTGTAAATAAGTCTTAGTGACAAAGCAGAAATAATGATGACATCTCAACCTTTCGTTGTCACATCTTCATCCACAAATCAACTATATGATTTTTCTCAACATGAGTAGACCCTTTGAGAAAATGACTTGACAAACCTTTTTTTTTGACCTACTGTTATAGGACACCAATAATCACATGGTGCAGAGATGACACAAGACAGCCCTACATAAATCATGAGTATTATTATGAACATCACCTCCCTGCAAGTCATGTGACCCAAATAAGGTTGGGAACTGTCATGGTGTTCTTTTTTATTTACTTCATATAATATAATTTCATAAAGGTAGAAAGGTTGCATACATTAAATATTCATTAGTCTTATTCATTATGCATGCATTTATGTATGTAGATTGGTATATACATGTGCGTGTGTACATGTCTAATATTTTGGGATTTATGAGCTTCTATATGATGTGTAAGTCATAAGTCTTTGTTTCTTCTGCTTACCATTGTCTTGTTATCTTAGAAAAATGACCCATGGGTGCCACAACCATCCTGCTGTTTTGACACATTTTGACGTACTTGACAAGCTGGAAACTGCATCTAACACATATCAGATGGTTAGTTTCATCCCATTTTGTCACAAATACACAACTTTTACAGATTCCTCCCATTAACCCTACACTGATGGTGCTAGAAGTTTCTGTGTGGCACTCATTCCAGTAATTACTGGCAATCGACTAGCCTTATTGGCAGGGCATTCGCAGTGTACAGACAGCCCTTCCCATTCGCTCGCTATAGTGAGTAATAACGTGTATACACATACCCATCATGAAGGACAGGTTCTCCATGACTGCTATAGCCATGTCTGTTAGTAAAGTATTAATGTCCCATTCAATACTTAATAATGAAAGTTTCAAAACCCAAAAGGCAGCTTAGCTGATGTCTAGTTTGTCATCCACCAAAATACATTTTTCCTTACATCTGAAAAACACTTCACCATATTTCCCTATCCCTACCAAAATGTACAGCTGTTAAATACATATTTCTATATAGAATTGCTGAATATTTATATTAATAAAACTAAAATACTTGTAACAGTGAACGAATAATAAAAAGAACTGGTATATATCTCACAGGGTATACCTTGTAAACACTGATCTGTTTGGCACAATTTTGTATTTGCAGTTTACCAACTTTTAAATTTTTAACCAAAATATATCCAAACCTCATGAATTGTTTGTATTGAGAACAAATTAAACTCATTTATGTAAATAACTTAATTTAGACATAGCTTATATCTTACTCTAAGTTTGGAAAATGACTCTTCCATTTGAATACATTTGGACATTTTTTGGACAATTGTTTATTGACACATTTCGACATATCATGGCAACACTGACATTATAGCCATACCACCATATCGAATTCCCTGATGACCCCAATACCTTAAATCACGGATATAAACAACTAAACATCATTAACATACACATTTTTATCTGTACACACAAATACAGGAGACAGACGTCTACTATACACATGGCAAAAATTACAGTTCTTCTCACTTGACTTTTAAAGCAAAACTAAGACTAAGCATTAACGTACCTTAAAGCGTTTGTCCTGAAGCACCTTCTTAATGGCGACGAGCTCCCCTGTCTCACAGAGCTTGGCTTGGAACACAACACCGAAACTGCCATTTCCAATGACTTTTGTGTCCATATATGATACCTCCTGCGGTCTATCTGAGCCCTGGCCAGGGGTGGCAATAACTGTGGTAATCTTGTTGCCATCTTTACCTGAAAAATTGTAATAATCTTGTGAATAAATGGTGAAGGTCAATACAGCTTCCACATACCTTAATTTGTCATAAAGTATTAAACAGATATATGCTTTTATTCATCTTACATCTGGTAGACACATATTGGTATATTTTCAAAAATAAAACATTCATTCAAATCATCATCCTCTTCGATGATTTTTTTTGTATGAACTAGACAGGCTGTTACTAGTATGAACTAGACAAGCTATGTAACAGAAAAAGAGTAGGATCATAGGCCTTTTAAATCAAATTTTCTTTTTTTTTCACATCCAGAACCATTACTGATTCCTCAAAAAATATATATAAGATAAAATAAAAACAAGTATTCTTCAACACTTGCATAGCTCCCTTGCCAAGCTTTTCCTTTGGAGTCGACACATTTACAGCCTCTTGCACAAGAAACAAACAGAACAAAGTCTCAGTCCAAAAAAGCAAAGACTATTAGTTCATATTCTGAACTCATTACTTTGTAATCATTAATAAAGATTCCGTGCTCTTCCATGCTCCTTCATACAATTTCATTGTGAACAATGGTATCAATTTCTCTTTTTTCTTTTTCTTTTTTTTCTTTTTTTTTTTCCTTTTTTTTGTAGGTTTACAATATTTATTTGAAACTCCGAATCAAAGGACTCGACAAACCTACCATTTCACAACAGATAGAAAAAACCTCATCCTTCTAACATGGATCTTGAATTTACATGCCATAGATAAATCACCCAAACCACAAGACCCGAATTATCAATTCTACACCGCCAATTCGCGCGTCGACAATAAGGGATCCAGCACAATATAAAAATCCAGTCTATCTGGCGATGTGTCCAGGGTGTTAAGTGTCGCTCAACAGTCCCTTCCCATTATAAAGATGCGCTGGAATCTCCACAGCCAGCCAAAACCAGGGCCAAAGGAAGTAGGCGGAAATGGGGACACGGGCGGGCCAAAATTGTACACCCGCCAAAAGGGGATAATATAAAAATAAAGACAAGAACGATGTTGAATCATTATCTGGATCCGTCATCCCAGACGCGGTCCACAAACGGATGATAAACCTGAGTACCCCAAAATACCAATTTCTCGCAACCCACGCATATTTGTCTCTCTCTCGTTTTCTCCATCGATATGGGGTTCTTTTAACCCACTCCCTGGGCTCCTTTCTCCCCCCAATACTCAAATAACCATCCCCATTCTCTTGGCTCTCACCTTTCCACATTCATCATTTTTCCTCTCTTCTCTCATCTCACTCCTCTCTAAGCATAACCACGATAAAGCGTAAATTCACAAACGAGTCCACTAGTCTGAGCACTGTTTTTCAAGCCAACTTATTATCCTCCCAAGCCCATCGTTTTACTATTGTTCTTATTCTATTTGTGGCGTCCTAAAATGTCTTTAGCGCCTTACAGACCATATAAATCCCAAGTACAATGGAATATTCACAGCGTAATACATGCAGGGATATAAGCCAATGGAAATTGACATTAACTAACCAAACAGTCGGATTGGCAAGCAAACACTCATCAGTATCAAAATGTAATTCCATGATCATACAAAGCAAAATCACATATGAAATCGACTCATAATAATCAATATAAGCAAAAATACCAAATAAACTCCATTGCGCGAATTATTTATTCACATAAAAACTCAAGTTTCTTTTTCTTTAGTCCTCCCTATCATAATAAAAGCCCACAAGACATTAACACGTTTAATCCTCATCTCTAGTATCAACAAAATAATCCCATTAGTCTCAAGCACGACGTTCCTCTTTATAAAATTCGTCCAAATCTGCCACATTTTAGCAAACAGATAGACTTTGCAACTTACAATATCCCCTTGCTCATAAGTGGTCGTAATGTAAGCTCACAAAATACACTGATTGAAAGGTAAGCTTCGCTAAAACAACTGTTCTCAGTGTGTCTACTGCTCAATTTCCTCAATTCCTATCTCATTATGACCCCCCCTATAAATTGCGAGCCATAAAGCAATCATTAATTCCAATAGTACAGACTTATAGACACAAGCTTAAGTATCTGCACCTAACATTATAACCCTATGAGTAACGCGACCCTAACTTAAAACTTAACAAAAAACTCAGAATTTCCTCATATTTATAATTTCTACACATGTGGTAGACAAGTGGGATGCATATGAAATCTGTGTCCTGATATAAATTGCACCACTGACATTTCCGCTGTTTGTGTTGTGTGTTGTGGTGTGGTGTTGTTGTGTGTGTGTAGTGGTTCAACGTTGTGTTGGTGATTTGTGTCGTGTGGTGATCGGACGCCATCCTTGTGAGTGTAGTGTAGTGTAACAGAGATATGTGTGTCCTGTCGGGGTGTGTGTTGTTTGGTGTGTGGTACCGCGTGGGTCGTGTTGCTACAGTGTGGGCGTGTGTGTGTGTAACGGTCTCACGGAGTGGGTGATCTCTTCGAGGCCTGTGTGGTGTGTGTCTGTTGCTTGTGTTCTGCTCGTGTGTGATTTGGGTAGGTAGTAAGGGGGCTAGTGGTTTGTTAAATAAGTATTATGTTAACCTTTTTATTTGTCTGCGTTTCTTTGTGCCCTGGTTCTTAATGGCCTACCCACAGCAAACGGACTGGCAACAAACCAATAACAAACGAATCGGTTGAGTGAGCCCACACTGACCGCTTGTAAATTCTCCTCCCGAGAGTAAAAGAACTTAAGAAGAATGTCCAATATAACTATAGTCGGCCATTTCAGTCAGGCAGTCCTACCAGGAGGAAGGACCAACTGGCTTGGTCTTTCCCTGGTTTTTGTTTGTAACGTATACTGTTATTTCACATAAATGCCAATACCTTAGATGATACGTAGAATCTTGAAATAAGAGAGTGAGCTTACCGGAAAGTAAAGAGGAGATAGAGAAGGAGAAAGCCAAAAGCCAAAAGAGAAAGAGAAGAGAGAGGGAGAAGACATGCGGGGTGTGTGGTGGACTCGGCTGTGAACAGTGTGTGTGCCTGTGCACTGTGATGTGTTGTGTTGGTATGTGTTATTGTGTATGGACTGTATATGTGATGTATGTATGATGACTGTGGGAGAACTGAATATATTTGGTGTGTGTGTGTTGTAAAGTGGGGTGTTGTTGTGTGTGTAGTTATGGTATGTGCTTTCTTTATACGCTGTTTGCCGGTACATAGTCAATCTGTGTGTGTGAGTGCGAAGTGTGTCAGTACGGTGGCAGGTGGAAGTGGAGCCTGTGTGAGAGGCAGTGTCTGAGAGGGTGGCAGAATCAGTGTGCAAGTGTTACGATTAGTACTATACTATTTAAAAAGTTTGTGCGACTGAAACAATACAAATAAAACTATATTCTTAACTATCAAGCTAATGATCACAGATATACATTAAAAAAGACTGCCAAAACAAAGATGCAATAACTACAATATGTGATCTTAACGTTTGTGAGTGAGCTATTGATAGTGATGATCACACAACTGGTAATCGCACGCTATATGTGGACGAAGTGATTTAGAAGGTGTTGACCTATGTGAATGTGAGTTGCGTGATGATGGTGTTTGTGAGTCAGCCGTTTAGCTATATGTTGCTACGGTGTTGGATTGTTGGTCTACGTGCGAGCTGGAGATGGTTCGTGTGGTCTGATGCACGGGCGGTCCGCTGCCATGTATCGGTGCATCAAACGGTGCGAATCTACTATTTATCAGCCTACCTAGAATCTAGTTCAATCTGCCAATTCCTTGACCTATCAACCTGCAACACCATCATTTGCCCAAAAATATAACATCAACTGCCTCCTTCTGATAAGAAGTGTTCGATATCTATGTGTCTGTAGGTTACAATTATCTGATCCATGTTTTTAAACATCAAAATATATTGACAATGAGGAAATAAATGCCCCACTGCCCAAATTGGTCACACATATATGATCCCAACCATTAATTTTAATCCAGAATCCTCGATTTACAACACCTATAAAATTCCCTTCTGGCTTATGGCCCAAATCACGTAGCACTATAAGATAACTCACATACTAATACTATCCCGAATATTTCTAGGCGAAAGAAGGACGCTAAAAAAAATAAGTCGCCAAGCGAGTTGCATTCACCATCATGGTCCTCATCCTCATTATCCCACCATCCAGCATACCCAATCAACAACCATCCACCACCAAAACAGCCAAGCCCAATAATTTTTTCCTAAATGCTATATAGCCGTTTCCACGTTTCATCCTAAGTTTACTGTACTTCCAATGATACTTTACGAGCGATATGATAAAGTATTCCGAGAAGAAGTTATCTCCTGACTTGCGATTGCCCTACGCCAGTTAACCCAGCAGGCACTCTAACCTGCAACCTGCACACTGTAGTATTTGTTTTATTTAATTTGGTTGCTTTACTCACATGACCAGAGGGCTCATAAGCCACTTCTATAAGAACCCTGACCCACAAAGTGTCCCTAATTAGTAGGCTTTCCCGTACCCTTCATCCTTTTACTTAATTATTTTTCCTGTGAGAACAAAACAAAACATCTTTAACCCGTAAACATAACTATATCTATTAACCTGGCGAACCAGTCCGAAGAACAGGAAGGAGAATTTGAGAGAGAGCTGAGTGAGAATAATACGAGCAGTGTAAATGAAAGAGAGAACGAGAGAGTGATTAGTGATATTAGAACTATGAGTACGAGATGGACGAGACTGAGAACTCAAATAAACCCTGGTAGATTGAACGAACTGAGTTAAAATTCCTTAACACAAAGAGATGAGAGAAAGACCGAGGACGATGTATGAGAGAGAGATTTGAGGCAGTCGAAGAGAGAGATGAAGAGAGAGGAACTTTATTATGTGTATAGTAATTTGTGATGATTATAGAGACGAGTGAGTTAACAGTGTAACCCTGTAATATCAATCTATTATTGGCGTATAACCAGTATATTATGGGCTCTTATAAACTGAAATTAATAACTTAGTATTATATTACAAATTAAATAATTATATAATATATATAATAAGCC